GCTCGTCGCGTACTCGGGGGCCCCCGACGGGGCCCCGCACGCATTGCCGGTATATAACGGCTCAGCCAGGTTCCCCGCTACCACCGGGGAGCCTCCGAGGCCCGCGGACCCACTCCCGCCGGCCGGCTTGGCTCCCGGGAGGCCTTCGTGGAGCGAGCCCAATGGGTAAGGTGGCTCCGGCCCGGGCCAGGGCTCCGGGTCCCCTTTGGCGCCGTTGAGAAAGGCGGTGTCACTGTAGCTGGCCAGGCCCGGGCGCTCATAGGGCGAGTCCAGGACTCCGGAGTACTTCTCAGCGTAGCGCTTGAGGAGGTTGGAGGCAGTGAGGGCGGAGATGTCATCGTGTGCCCAAGCGTAATGGCAGCGCTGGCGACCCCCTGGAGGCATCTCCAACTTGTGGGCCGGCGATGGGGTAGTGGAGGAGACGTCCAGGTGCTGCTCTGGCCACTGGTTGAGGGGCTGGGCGTGTTCTGGTGTCCAGTGCATCTTCGTCAGAACTGCAGGCAAGAAGAGCAGTGACTGGTCAGCTCCTGCAGTGGCTCTGGGGACCCACTGACGGTCTCCAGACTTAGATGATGACAGGCTATCCCTCCCAACCTTTTGGACTTTTTGTTTGCTTGCTGTTTGTTTGTTTGAAATAGTTCCCTTGTCACCAAGAGGAACCCAGAAGTGCCGTAGTTAGCCCTAACTACACACATCGGACAACAGCAATCTTCCCCACAGCAGCTGTGCCTCCTAGGGAACAGAGCTCATCCCTGGGACCCAGTAGAGGAAAGGGCCAGACTGAAAGAGCTAAACCATGAGACTGGAGAGTGACCAGTACTTGCTGTTCACCCACTATGTGCGGGCCACGGCAGGGGTGTCAGAGTTTGGTAAGGATTAGTGAGGCAGGCCCAGAGCTCCTGGCAAGGAGGTCCAACAAGCTGACATTCCAAGATTCTCTGTTCACCTTGGCCTTCACTGAGACCCAAAGTCCACTTTGGGCCTGAGGTCAGAAGTGCCCTGGAGTGTGATCCTGCCCATCAATCCTGGAAACCACAGTAGCTAACCCAACAGCACTTATTTCCTAGGTATTTGATTTCTTTGGGCCTCTGCCTAAAGAAACTAGAACCCTGCCAACTAGAACATGCCTGTTCGCCTTACAAACATTATGTGGAATGGGCAGACAATCTGCTGAAGCGCATGGGGCAATATGGAGCATGCAGGTGACTTTCAGCTGCATCCCTGGGCTGGCTAAGTACCTGCCTGCCATGCTCAGGGACCTGGGATCAGCACTGGAGGGGTTTAAAAAGCGAATGCTAATTTGAGTTTCCCAGTCACCAAATAAAGAGGGAGGTACAATCACACTCACTTTGCAAAACACCAGTTCGCAAAAGGAACAAAAGTTTCTGGCATGTGGGGCCACAGAGCAGGTCTGTGAGCTATCACAGTGTCTCTGTACCATCAACACCAAAAACCGTCCAAGGTCATTCCCTAAACTGCCCTCTGACACCCATCACGGCATGAGTCCTGAAGTAGTAAGAGATTCAGAGCCTGAAGAACAGTTTTGTCTTGGCACGCGGCTCCCATAAGCCAGCCTAACCCAACAATAAAATTTCAAAGACTAAATGAAGTGAGCATACCCAGACAGCCCAAGCTTTTGATGGATTTATAGAATAGCAGGTTCTTCCTTCAGCAAACTTTGTATTGGTGCGTGTGTGCATGTGTGTGTGTGGGTGGGTGGGTGCACGCGCATTGCTGCACAGGGGACTGAACCCAAGGCTCCTGCAGGCCAGGTAAACACTATGGAGCATTACTTCTAACTTCTCTGCAAAGACTGTATTGAGCAAATGCTATGTGCTTTACTAGACATGGGGCTAGGTTAAAGGTTGGCAAAGATGGTTCAGCCAGCCGGAGAGAAGACAAGTAAATAGCATCCTTTGTGGAGTAATAGAGGGGCTTGCCTGGGGCCCTGGAGCTCAAAAGAACATGCCTCTCCTGGCTGAGGACCCACCTAAGAGCTAGTGTCTCTATGGCATCTTGAACAGTTACAGGGAGCAGTGCATCCCAGATAACAGAAGCAGGACACTCGGAACGCCAGGACTAGGAGGACGTAGTTATGCAGTTATGCACACCTGCATTCTTTGCACTCAGAAGGAGCCCTGGAGTTTAACACCAGCTTTAGTAGTGCAAAACAAAACAAACCACGGCGGGCCTCCTTGGGGCACTGTGCTGCCACCTGCTGGAGACATATTGCAATTTACAGAGCTATCCCAGGCTCTTGTACTGTGCACACCTACAAAACTACACACTGAGCCTATAGAGAGGACCGAGAAATGCAGTTTCTAGAGTCGTGACAGTGTGTGTGTGAGGGAGGCTGAAAGCGTTTCCTCTGGTTGTGCACAGTCACCATACTGGCAGCGGCTGGTTATTCTCGGAAAATGAAATGGGCCCCATTTTCACTTTTATCTACATCTCTATCAACCTTGTAGCCCAAAGGCCTGCTGGTCTACCTAGGGAAAGCATGAGCTATGCACTAGTACCTAAAAGGAGGGTAATAGTTCTGGAAGGTACCAGCAGCTGGAAGGAAGAACAAAACAGAGGTGAGGGATATGTGTTCCGAGTCCCAGCTCCTGCTGAGGGTTTTTAAAGACGAGAGCCATTACCTGGTAACAGAGGGGCAGTTACCTGGGACACCAAGTCACAGCTTATCCACTTCCTATCACCTGTGCCCTAGCTCCCAGATTATCAATACAGGGAAACACAGACCGTGAGGACTGTGTGTCCCTTGAGTGCACTGACCCTACAGGGGAGGGCCTGGACTTGTCCCCGTGAGCCTCCTTCTCCCTAACCAGGCAATCTTGACTAAGTCCTCACCAGCTACCCCTGGGAGTCACCCATCTCCACTCTGACCTGCCCTCCAAGTCTGACTCTCGCCCTCTTCTGCAGAAGTCAGCCCTCTGTTGTGGAGGCCTGGCATCACCCCTTACTTCTTAATCACTGGCCTGTCTCCTCAGATACTTTAGATCATATTTTTTCTGTTTTCGTCAGGAAAAAAGAAAAATGAAGCCACTGCCCCTGCTTTCCCCCTTGCCTGCGTCTGTATACACCTTGTAGGCCAAAGGCCTGGTGGTCTGCCCACCTCAGCTGCAGATAGATCCCCATCCTGACCCAACAATCAGTCCAACCTAAGTGATGTGTACAAGTTCCTCCCATTGGGAATATAACTCTTTTCACAAATCCAAGATGATCTCCCTTGACCCTGGGTCCCCAGTAACTGCCAGCCTTGCTCTGCTCCCCTTCTTTTGGGGACTGCTACCTACGTGTGGTGACTGTGGTCTGTCACGTGTCCTCTAGGCCAGCCGGTAGGCAAGGAGCCATGTCTCCGGCAACTTTGGCTTAGCTCAATCCTGGAACATTGCATTTCCCTCGAGCCTAGTGATGGAAAGGACCAGGATCTGGTCTGAGTCTGAATCTAGCCTGAAGCCTGGGCCCAAGCCGAAAAGGGAGGGAGACCAGGCTCCAGGACCAGCTTTCAGGCTGAAAGGATCCCGGAGACACAGCAGACTGTGACACACCTAAAGAGTGTGTTCAGCTTTGGGTCCATGTGCACTGGAGAGTACAGGTCCCCAGCACGAGTGTCTGGGCTGGACACAAGCTAAAGAGTAGTTCCAGAAGCTTCCTCCCAGACCAAGCCACACCAGACTGGCCTTCGGTATGGATAGTGATCACTAACTCCCTGCTCCCTACCAACCCTTAACACTCCTACACAGCCAACCCCCCCCCCCCCCCGCCCGCTTCCAACTCACTCTATCCTATCTATAGTCCCGGGGTCAGCAGAGCCAGGGGTGAGGAACACCAGGACTTGGGCAAGAGCAGAGTCTGAATCAGGGAGACCTGTTTCAAAGTCCCATCTAGACACTTGCAGGGGATCCTGAGAAGACTACCCAACCTTATGGAACCTCATTTTCTCCAGATTAGAGGGCATAATACGTAACAGGTAGAGGATGGAGGATTTACAATGATGTCGAAAGGCAGTACAAACTACAAGTCCCGAGTAGTACCCCTCTCCGGCTTAGTGGTGACCTGGGGGCTGGGGCAGGGAGCTGACTGGAAGACCCCTGCCAGCAGGGCACGACAGGGCAGGATGGTCCTCCCGCCACTTCATAGACCCTGCTCTGTGCTTCCCCCATGTTCGTGTCCAACCTACATGAGACAGAGATGCAGGGAGAGCCCTGCCTCTCTCCGAGATACACAGCAGATAGGAGTCAAAGCTCTGGCCCTTGGCTTCTTCCTGCAGTGCCCACCTTCGAGCCCCTTAACCCTTTGGCCTGAGAGAGTCACAGTGCTCGCGCCTGTCCGGTCTAAGAGAACGGCTCCCATATTTTCCTGTAGACACAGCTGTCTCCCAGAACTGTGGATTTGGTCTTCGTACCTCATGGGGATTTGTATCCTCTAGCCAAGCAGCCCAGAGAAAGCTGTCTCTCCCTGTAGATACGCAGTCACACACAACAGCATGTGGACCAGAGCTGGCAGACAGTCCTTAGTTTGGGTTTTGTGGCTTGCCCTAGTGGTAGCTGGGACTCTAAACTACACACACACACACACACACACACACACACGGTATGATAATCAGCGGTTACAGAACTACTCAATGTAAGAATGAAGTTTCTCCTACAGCCCCACACTTCTTGTTGGTAGAAGCCCAGGATTGCAAAGATTGATTCAGCCTTCACAACCAGCCTTAACGCTGCACTGCCTCCCTTCCTAAGAGCGCCCAACCCATCCCTGTGCTCCAGGCCTGGCCCAAGCTTTGACAGCATAACCAGCAGACCCCACGCTGTCACTTTGTGGCCACCAGCCAGATGCCCCACCTCGCTATCCTATATTACACTCTGCCAGTAACTATCGCTTCCACGGGAGAAGCCCAAACGCTTCACTAAAATCCTAAGGGGTTCTTAAAAGTTAAGCTGCACAGTTTCGAGTCGGATGGGAAGGGACAGCAGTCACACAGTGTCAGCGCCTCTCTCCATTCCCAGGAGCCCTGAAGACCTCAGAAATTCTGATTCCAGATTCCATTACCCACGGGGGGGGGGGGGGGCATAGTAGAGAAGGGCATCTGGACCCCACTCAGCTGTAGTGGAGGAGGGCTCATGCCCCCTTCTGGGCAAGCCTCCTCCAGCTCCATTATCTCAGCCTGGGACAAAAGGACCAAGTAGAGAATCTCATTGTGGGGCCTCCGTATGGAGATCTCATTAATCTATTCACACAGGCTCCCACAGGCCTTTTGTCACAGGCTTTTTGTCTGCTGCTTACAGCGCATGTCCCAGGGGTCCGCAGTCCCTGGCAGAGCCTGAACAGGCCTCATGCCAATCCCCAGGCACAGAAAAAGGAAACGGAGATAGAGACCTGGGGACCTGGAAGACTGGGCACTTGCCCCGGCCTTGTGGTTACCACACAGAAACCTCTCTCCCAAGCTCCAGGCCAGAGGGCTCCTCTGGGGCCTGCCACAGAACCTGGTGTGGCTGCGGCTCAGTGCATGTCTAGGAATTAGCAGAAGTTGCCAGGAGAGCAACCGTGGTCCATATTTACTAAGTATACTATCATGTAGCCTTCCAACACTTTCAGAGTCGCCAACCATGTGCCAGGCAACAGACAGGCAGACCTGGGTCACACTGTGACTCAAGTGTACAGCCCAATGACTGCAGTGAACACAGCACTGTGCACTTAAAACTGCTGAAAACTAAGTGTTCTCGCCACAAATAACCACGCGGAGCACTGTGCAGAATTAGTGTGATGTAGCCTTATGACAGTACATTCATCAAAAACATTCAAGTTTTTGTTGTCAAGTAAAAATTAAGTTTTAAAAAAACACTATTCTTAAAGCTCTGATAACTTGAGTTTTTCGGTGCTAATGGAACTCATAGAGATAAAGTTGATAGAGTTATTTTGTTTTGTTCAGTGTAAATGGGTGTTTTACCTACTTTGCACCAAGTGGATACCTGGTGCCAAAGAAGCCAGAAGAGGGCGCTGCATCTCCTGGAACTGGAGCTACAAATGGCCGTGCGTTGCCGTGTGGGTGCTGGGGATTGACCCCAGCTTCTTTGGAAAAGCAGTATTTTTAACTGCTGACTTATCTCTCTAGCCCTTTATTAAGAATTTTTAAAAAAATGTTTCAATTGGCCAGTCGGTGGTGGCACACACCGTTAATCCCAGCACTCGGGAGGCAGAGGCAGGTGGATCTCTGTGAGTTAGAGGCTAGCCCGGCCTACCAGAGCTAGTTCCAAGACAGGCTCCAAAGCTATAGAGAAACCCTGTCTCAAAAAAAATTTTTTTTAAATTGTGTGTGAGTGTGTGTTTCTTTGTGAGGCTATGTGCATGTGAATGCAAGTACCAGCAGATGCCAGAAGAGGGCGTAATATCCTCTGGCGCTAGACTTATAGAGACTACCCAAACATGGATACTAGGAACCTGTTGTTATCTTAACCAGGCAAAGATGTATTACATTTGTTTATGCTGCAGAATATTGCCTTAACTGTGTGAAGGTGTGTTTCATTTGTTTCACCTTGCCTGCCTAAGGCACTTGACTGGTCTAATAAAGAGCTGGACAGGTAGGCAGAGAAAGGATAGGTGGAGCTGACGGGCAGAGAATAAACAGGAGAAGGAACCTAGGCTGGAGAGAAGAAGGAGAAGGAAGAGAGGAGAAGACGCTTGGGGCAAGAAGCCAGGCAACTATTGCCAGACAGACAGACAGACAGACAGTGAAAGTAAGGTATGCAGAAGTAGGAAAGGTAAGAAGCCCAAAGGCAAAGGTAGATAAAGAGAAACAGGCTAATTTCAGTTAAAAGAGCTAGCCAGAAAAGAGGTAAGCTAAAGCCAGGCATTCAAAACTAGCGTCATGATTTGGGAGCTGGTTGGTGACCCAAAAGAAAAGGCCTTGTACAGGAACCAATCTTAGGCCCTCTGTAACAGTAATATATGTTCTTAACCACTGAGCCATCTCTCCAGCCCTGCCAGGTTGGTTTTCTGTTTGTTTGAATAGCAAAGAAAGGGATGGGGCGGGGGAAGAAGAAAAGATTTATTCTGGAAGCTCAGAGACAGCCAAGGCTATATCTGGGGCTGTGGACATCACCCAGATGGGTCTGCGAAGATTGGAGCCTTGGCACAGACTCTAGGCCCAAGATAAGAAAAAGAAAGGAAGAAGTGTGCTGAGCCACACACAGTGTCCAGTCCTCTCATTTAGTCCCCTCCCACCTATGGAAGCAGACGTTTGCAGAGGCTAGAGCAATACCACTGGGGTGTGGCCCACCCTAGAAGGGGGAGTCTCTTCCTTCGGAGCCAGCGTGTTCCCTCTGCACCCACCGTGGCAAGGTTCCTGTGCCATCTGAGGAGCAGTGTTCTGAGGGAGCAGGGGCTGCCCTCCCCAGCTGTACAGAGTGGTGCTCAGAGCCAGAGTAACGATCATGGCACTGCAGAGTGGTACAAGAAACAAGCGCAGGGCTGGCAGACATGAACGAAGGAGTGACCTGTCTGCTTATTAAGTCTTCCAGGTCCATCAGGGTCCACGGTGAGCCCTGTGTCTTTCCAGACCCTCCACTGCTAACCTCTTACCTCCTTGGCGGGGGAGGGGGCGCTGGATAAAGTCTTCATGGCCACAAGAACCCAATGGGCTGATGAGTGGTGTTTGGGCTTCCTCTTGGGCCCTGATCCCCCTCATAACACTCGGTGGCATTGCCCCGGTTTCCCTCCTCTCCTGCAGGACCTATTTCCTCCTCTCCACTCTGCCCTCATCAGCCCACAATAGGCTGTGACTTTTCCCACTGGAATAAGCTCCGATTTCCCTCTGCCTGTTTTTTTAAAACTTTTCCAGAACCAACTGCTTGAAAGTTGCCTAGATTAGAATTCCTGATTCCTCTTCTCCCGTTTCATCTTAATTGGTCCAGCTCTGTGTCCAGGCCCAGCACGCCACTCACTGGTGTCCTCATGCGTCTCTGCTGACCCAGTCACCAGGCCAGCAGGCGCTCTAGCTGCCCTCCAGGCCACTCGCCAGTCTCCACACAGTCACAGGCCTGGGCTCTGACCTCCCTCTCCATGCAGGTCTTTGACCATCACGTGTGTGTAGATGTTACCTAGGCAGGGTCGTGCCAGCTTGGTTTCTTAACTGTACTCCACCATGGCTGACACATGTAGCCTCCAGTCAACTGCCACCATGAACACGGCTCAAACTCAGAGCTGAGCATGGTAGCACACGCCTGTGTAATGCCAGCACTCGGAACCTGGAGGCAGGAGCTTGCGGAGTTCCTCACCTAAATCAGGAGTTTGAAGCCAGCCTGCATGAAACTTTGTCTCAAAACGCTAAGACAAAAACAAAAACATGTCCCCAGATCAAACTCTGGCTACCACCCCATCCCACACACTCTTGGCTGCCTTCAGATTGCTCGGGCGGATGCCACCCGTCATCACCCAGTCCTTCACTGCTCCAGCTGGCTCTGGCTTCTGGATTTGTGCAGATGATAGCCCTTTCCAGCATTCCCCTAGTCATCTCTCCCGCAGCCCCAATACCGCACTGGGCCTACTCTGTTCTCCTCTAGCCACCGAGAGACTTGGAAACGAGTCTGCTTGTATCCTTCTTCCAGAAAAACTTTTTGCCTTCTCTGTGTGTGTGGAGCCAGAGGCTGATGTCAAGTGTCTCCCTCAGTTGCT